AGCTACTCATTTATTCAGGAAGGGGAAAGGAGTGACAATATGGGAGTCTTTAAGAGCAAAAAACTGCTGCATTGCAAATATTTACCCTACCAAGCAGATCTTCCTGTACAGTAAGGTAGGCATCCGAAATCCATTGTGTAGATTTTTCTGCTTGTATGGAGTGGAGGTGAATGCAGTTTCCATGCCACAGAGGATACTTTGTGATACAACTCAGTTGCTGGAGTTATGTCAGAGCTTCGAAAAATATAGCTTGCAACAGAAGTGAAAATTTCATGCTGGTGGCCGGAAATACAGCCCAATGCCTTTTGCAGAAACACCGTTGGAAGACAGCAACATGTCTTGAGCTTGTGTTACTCCTAGGAGCATGCTATCTTTCATTCTTTGATCATGCGGCTGTTACCAATACTAAGATGTCAGATTATGCAGAAGTCAGCAGTTTTGTGGATGAAAAACAGCTGCCTCAAACTCCACAAAGGGCCACTTTGGTATTTCCTTAATAATAATGTTCTTCGAGGAAACCTTAGAAAGCACTTTCCTAAACTCTCTCCACCTAAGGACAAAAGACATGCAGCTCCAAAAGTTAGAAGTGTTAAAAACTTCATACAACTTAAAAAAGTAAGAAGTGTTAAAAACTTCATACAACTTAAAATAATCACCAAAGCTGGACAACCTGCAGTCATAAAATGTCTTGTTTTACTTTCCACCTAAAAATTAGCTGCAGAACATGTAGTTGAACGTAGCTCTTGGCATATCATGTGTATCCTGTTCTGTATGCTGGGAGCTGATACATTTCAAAGTGAACATCTGCACATAGGGAGTTCAACTGCTTTAAAATGTGGCTGTATATCTTAAGGCATTTTTTTGTTTTTTAGAATTTTCTTTTAGTAAAACTGGTGGAGGACATTTCTGATACTCTTGAGATGCCATGTATTTCCTGAGAATTGCTGGTTCAAAGAGCTTATATAATTTATTTGTACAAAAAGAGAGTGTTGGAAAAACCAGCTAATCCTTTAAACCGGCAGCTATCTGATAGGTTATGTGTTCTCTGGGTTGGATAGAAAGATTTTGTACTTTGCTTAATGGTCAGAGCACATTACGTGTTTATGTACTTAGATTTTAGCAGAAAACTTACTGGGGGGCGGTTTTAGTAAAGATAGCCATCTTAAAAAATACTGTGATTCATCTTGAAAGAGAGAATATAAATGTTTTGAACCTGACAATGTAACTTAAACAAAAAAATAAAGAAAAACCCCACAAATAAACTAACTTTTAGCCCTCCATTACTTTTTATAGCAAATCAGACAGTAAAGGATTGGTTAGCAGTGGAATCTCAAAGTGAGAATGTATTTGACCCAGGTTTTCTAACATGCCAATTGACCTAATATTTCCAATTAATATTTTCTTTACCTTGAGCACAGGAACCCAGTGATTTCAGTGTATGTGTTAGTGGCATGAGTTTAATGCCATAAAATGGATATGTACATTTTGTAGTAGAAAAAATGTATCCTGGTAAATTGTACAGAAAATTCTGAATAAGTCACTTCAGTTTGGGTTTGTGGTTTTTTTTTTTTTTTTTTTTTTTGCAATTGCTAATAAGAATCATTTCTCATAGGGTTTGTTTGAGATCCAGTTTTTCATTTTACTCTATCACAATTATACTTCGCCCACAGAAAGCTGATTAAAAGAGCTTTATTTGAGTCTGAAAACCAGAGAACAATTATATATCAACATTTAAAATGGACTTGGAGCATTTGGTGTTTAGTTACAGCTGCTCTTACCTGATTAAGATAACTTTGTGTTGAAGCAATCACTTGAAGAGATTTTAAATTAATAGCTGTTCATAATAAGTAGGTTGTATTTGTCTTTTAATAAATCACTTCCCATGGTTTTACCAGAGACAATGATGGAGCCTTCAGTTATCACAAAGGTGTTTGCTTTACTTGTTTCTTAGTAGGGGTATATCACAAGCACCATAGGAGTAATCCCGTGGAAATCAGTAAGGTTGTGGTGGATTTAGATAGGCATGTGGTAAACAAGAATAGAATTGAGAGATGCCACAAAGAAGTTTTGCTATACTGCCTGATGAAAATTTAATCTTGTAATGCTTGGCAATATTTCTATTTGAGCATGTCAGATTTTTCACCCCTTCTCAGTTTGTGTCATTTGTGTATTACTTGTGTATTTCCATTCAATTTCCATTTGTAAGCAAAGGGTTCTGCCTCTGCTCTCTGTATCTGTGAATTTAAGTACAGAAGCAACTAAGAACTAAGAAAAGGGGTTGCTTTCCATGGTACCTCTAAGATAAGGTGTATAGGCCAGGTTTTGGTAGCAGGGCAGCTACAGGGATGGCTTCTGTGAGAAGCTGCCAGAAGTTTCCTCCATGTCTGGAAGAGACAGTCCTAGCCAGTTGCAAGAGGACATGCCTCTGGTCAAGGCTGGGCCCATCAGAAATGGTGGTAATGCCTCTCTCATTACATATTTAAGAGACTTAAAAATTTTTTGTGGAATTTTTGTGTAGGTGGAGAATACATGAGAGGAACAGCCCTGCAGACACTGAGGTCAGGGAGAAAGGAAAGGCGGGAGGTGCTCCAGGCACCAGAGCTGAGGCTCCCCTGCAGCCCCTGGTGCAGACCATGGTGAGGCAGCTGTGGCCCTGCAGCCATGGAGGTCCCAACTGACCATAACTCCCATTCCCTGTCTCCTTGCACTTGCTACGGGGAGGAGATAAAGCTGGGAAGAAGGGAGGGGTAGGGGGAGGTGATTTTAAGATTTAATTTTATTTATCATCATTCTGCAACAGGATTGAGTCTGTTTTGCTTGTGATGGCATTCGGTGCATGATATCTTATAGTTCTTAACTTGTGAACTCTTCACTATATTTTCTCCCCGCATCCAGCTGTGGAGGGATGTGACAAGCTCTGGTGGGCATCTGGCATTCAGCCATGGTCAACCCCCTACATAAGGTTTTCTTTCATTACTTTCTTTTAAGCATTCTTAGGTGTTCTTAGTTGCTATTTAAACTCTTGGCAGTACCCCATGTATTTTAGCACCTAAATTCCTAAAATAATATCTGGTCTCTAAAATAATAAAATAATAAAATGGTCTAAAAGAATAAAAACGGTCTCTTGTTCACAGAGGAGTGTACTGGTATAGAGAAAAGAATTCAGGCTTTTTCTTAATTCTAGAGGCCATATCTATCCACATGGATAACTGGAAGGTGATCAGGAATAGTCACCATGGATTCACTGCAGATAAGTCATGCTTGACCAGCCTGATTGACTTTTATGATGAAACAACTAGCTGGATGGTGGAAGGGAGAGCAGTGGAACCTTGACTTCAGCAAGGCTTTTGATACTGTCTCTCTCAGCATCCTTGTAGGAAAACTCAAGATTTATGGACTGGATGAGTGGGCAGTGAGGTGGATTGAGAACTGGCTGAATGGCAGAACCCAGAGGGTTGTAATCACTGGCCCAGGGTCTGGCTGGATGCCGTCACTGGCCCAGGGTCTGGCTGGATGCAGTCACTGGCCCAGGGCCTGGCTGGATGTTTCACTGGCCCAGGGCCTGGCTGGATGTTTCACTGGCCCAGGGCCTGGCTGGATGCAGTCACTGCTGCCGTTCCCCAGGGTTCAGTACAGGCCCAGGACTGTTTAAGTTACTCACCAATGACTCGGGTGAAGGGACAGATGCCTCCTGAGCAGGTCTGCTGAGGATGCAGAGCTGGGAGCAATGGCTGATGTCCCAGAGGGCCATGCAGCCCTTCAGAGGACCTCAACAGCTTGGAGAGGTGGGCAGAGAGGAACCTTGTGAAATTCAGCAAGGGCAAGTGCAGGCTCCTGCACATGGGGAGGAACAACCCCAGCACAGCACAGGCTGGGGCTGCCCTGCTGGGGAGCAGCTCTGTGGAGAAGGACCTGGGGGTCCTGGTGGACAAGAAGCTCTCCATGAGCCAGCAGTGTGTCCTGGTGGCCAAGAAGGCCAATGGTAACCTGGGGGCATTGGGAAGAGCATTGCCAGCAGGTGGAGGGAGGTGATCCTGCCCCTCTACTCAGCCATGCTGAGGCCTCACCTGGAGTGCTGTGTTCAGTCCTGGGCTCCTCAGGACAGCAGAGACATGGAGCTGCTGGAGCAGGTCCAGCAGAGGGCAATGAAGTTGGTTAGGGGACTGGAGCACCCCTTCTACCCAGAAAAGCTGAGGAGAGATGACTGAGAGGGGACATGATCAATGTCTATCTGTGTCTGATGGGAGGGTGTCAAGAGGATGGATTCAGGCTCTGCTCAGTGGTGCCAGGCAATAGAACAAGAGGCAATGGACAGACACCTATGCCCAGGAAGTTCCACCTTTATATGAATATGTTACTGTGGGGTTACTGAGCACTGGAACAGATTAACCAGAGAGGTTAAGGAGTCTCTCTCACTGGAAGTAATCAAGCAGCACCTGGACTCAATCCTATGCCATGTGCTCTGGGATAACCCTGCTGGAGCATGGAGGTTGAATGAACTTGGACCAAATGACCTACTGCGCTATCTTCCAACTTGACCAACCTGTGATTTTGTGATTTTAGTTATTTCTTTTGTAGTCTTGCAGAAGCAAGACCCCAATGGTTGCACATCTGTTTCTCCCAAAACTGTGCCCTGAGGCACAGGTACCTAACACCACAGGCATAGTGAATTACAGGAACAGATGCAAATAATAAATATCTGTAAGTATCAACTCCTACATAGGAAACAATGCAATTAGTTTTAATGTGCTTTCACATTTGTTGATGTATTTAATTTCTTAATTTCTTCTTTTTGCTCCAATAGAATAGTGAAGTGGACACAATACAGTTGGGGTTGAATTTGCAGTTGTGCAAAACCAACAATTTTGCCACATTTTATTTTAATACTTGCAAATGTGGGTTATAAAATAAAGAAAATAAACGGCTGTTTAAAATGCTTTATTGAAACATTGTATATTGCATTTGCTTTTGACTTAATTATCTTTCTGCTGTGTTTTCAGGAGATTCTTAGGAATGAAAGTTATAGAGAAGAAATGAAGCAGAAAGTCAAGGATGTATCTGAAAAGGACAAGCTGCTTCAGGCCAAGGAGTATGAGGAAGGACTTGTTGCTGAACCAAGTCATACTCAGGTTAAAGGCCACGCATCTGCCCCTTACTATGGAAAGAAGGAGCCCTCACAAGACCCCACGAGCACTGCAAATACCTTCCAGCCAGGTGCCTGGATGCCACCAGGCAGTGGTAGTAGTCAAAATAAATGAGCAATTTAATGGACAGGTACTGTTAATGGATTAATATTTTAACAGATGACATACACAGCTGTTATATACAAGAGTACTACAATAAAGTAGTATTAAAGCAGTTTGAGTTACTTTTGCAGAACTATTCAAATAGGCTTGATCATGACAAAGTATTGTTGAGGTGTTTGGGTTTTGTGAAAAATGGTGTGTTACTAAGTTTGGTTTTGATAGTTGTTGCTCATCAGTTACTCTTGAATTCATTTTTAAAAGACTAAGTTTTCTTTAAGTCTAAATTGCTTTTTTCCTTGAAGACTAATTTAGTTTTAAAACTGTTCTTGATGTAAGAATTATTGTCTGTACACTTACATTTTCCCAAGCCTTTGCTAAGACATCTCTTCAGAATAAATCCCTTGGCAGTGCCAGCATGCTTTCCGCTGGCAAGCAGACGGAAAAGTTGATTTCATTAACAGGAATCACTATGACACTACACTGATTACGCACTGTACTCATCATAGAGACGTTCTTGGAACTTAAAATAATCAACATATTTGAATGTTTGATTTTAAAACAGTCAACATATTTGAATGTTTGATTTGCAGACAGCAATTTGTACAGGGTAAAACCAGTTAAAATACATATAAATGCTATAATAGAAGCTAGAAGTAGTTGATAAAGCTGCTGGAAAATAACACTAGGTCTGGAACAAGGGACTGTCTTGAATATTAAAAAAAATACTAGTTTTTATTCCTTGTGTATCCATGGACTTCCCTAGATGATGAGATCATTTTGGCCATAGTTAAGCTACGTAAAATGTGCAGATTATTTGCTTAGAAATTATGTTTGAGAACTTCAAATAAAAATGAAGACGACACAATTTTTTTCAAAAAGTATCAAATTTATTTATGGAGTGTATCCCTCATCAGTTTTCCTCCCTGTGTTTCAAGCTATGTAGGTATCAAAGGTAGAACACATACATATTTGACAACACTTCATACAAAACATGGAGACTTAATCTCACATATTTATAAAATGCCCAAATGTCATATTCCAATAATGCTTGCTTTCACCAACAAAATTGAAAGGGGATCAACTTCAAATTTACTTAAAAGTAATTTCAGTTAGACTCCCCACTTCTGATCCCCCTTGGTGTCAGCCAGCTCTATAGGTCTCTTCATTTGAACAATGGTATTATTTTAAAGTTTTATTTTTAAACCTGATCAAAGAGTAGCTGCTAGAATGCACAACTCTGTGCTGATGCAAAATGTAAAATCTTAATGACTGCTACAAGCTCTTTTGAAATAGACTATGTAGAGGCCACCACAGACTATTATTAAAAAATTAGGCTTTGAAAAATTAATCAAGTCTATTAAGAAGAGATTAATTGGAAATAAGGTTAGATAATTTTGATGTATTTACAACACAAACCTGACTTTTTGGACTATGTAAGCATCTTGCAACCTTTAAGGCAGCAGAGTTTGAAGGGCCATGAGAACAAAAATCCTACCTAAACACAAGTCTTAGATCAAAGGTAGTCAGGTGGTTACTGTCACCAGAACTACTGTCACCAGCTCATGCAACACCTCGCACAGCCGTCTGCTATACCAGAACACTAGGACACCTGGGTCTTTGGTCTCACCCAACTTATGGCTATTCTTTGAGGCATAAAGAATTTATGAAGGCAAAACCAAATCAGTTACAGGTGGAGCATTCAGGTGGAGCATTCAGGTGATTGTTAGGGAAGCTCAAACAACAGTACTGTATTTTATAGAACATGAGTGGCTTAAGAGAAATGAAGCTAATAAAGAACAAGTAATCAGTTTCCTGGAACTTGGGCTGAAGTTAAAGTCTGTTCATGGCTTGTAGTTCAGGAAAAAGTAAAAGCTAAGGTAGGTTATTTCTGCAGACAAGCAGCACCATCAAAGACACTGCAGCAGCCACTATGGGCACACACAGCCATATGCAGTGACCTTAAATGAAATCAGTCATGTCTGCTATCTAATGCTACAGGTAGCTTGTCTCTACAGACCTGCTCAAGGTATGCCAAAAATTGCATTTCTGTAATCCAGTTTACTATTCACATTTTCCCCTAAACTTGATAATTTTAAGACACTTGTTAAGTCATAGCTCAGCTAAGAGGAAAAAAAAAATCTACCTCCAAAGCCATCCAAGAGGTTATTTTTTTAATTTAACATGCAAATTTAGAAAAGCAACCTGCACTAGAATACAAGTAGTAAATTTAATTACTCTAACAAGTGTCACTTGGGCAAATTTTAACACAAATCAGCAGGAAAAAATTACACTGGAAGTATTAAATTTCATACTTCAAGAAATAACAGGATCAAGTATCAAAGGACAGTTGCAACACAATATGTACAAGTATTTCATTTTAAAAGTTGATTATTTGCACAAGGAAGGCCATTTTTGCCCATTTAATCCTTCTTTGTTCGTTTGGCCTTTGCAATGTTCTCCTGGCGTTTCTGTTTCTTCTTCAGCTCTCGTTCCCGGGCCTCAATCATCTTTGCAAGCTTCCATGACAGCGCCGCGCTGATGACAAACAGTGGCGTCAGAGCCAAGATCACAGTGGTGAGAAAGCCGTAGGGGTCCTTGGCAGCCCACTCCACAATGTACTCGGCCCAAGCCTTAATATCAAACATCTTTTCTGTTCTCCTACTGAGGAAAGCCTGTAGAACATTAAAAAAAAATAAAATCTGAGTACTCAGCAAATTAAAAGCGCACATACAAAAGAACAAAACACAAAAAGTTCCACCTTCATGTGGGAAAGAACAACTTTACATTGAGGGTGGCTGATCATGGGAATAGGCAACCCAGGGAAGTCATGGGGTCTCCCTCTGGAGGTACAGAAAGCTGAGGTCGGCAGGTTCCTGTGTCACCTGCTCTAGGTGACCCTGCCTTCACAGTAGGGCTGGACTGGATGATCCCAGAGGTCCCTCCCAACCCTACCGATTCTGTGATACTAAGTACCATAAGTTGTCCTCCTTGTTCACTATTAAAGGGCAAGATCGTCTTTGCTAGAAAGTAAAAGCAGTACATACTATGTGAAAGTGTAATGCAAAGCACTGACCCTATGTTAAAGTTCAGCGTTTATAGAATAATTGGTATTTAATCCCACAGAGCTGCAAACGCTACTAAGAATGTATTGTTAAACGGAAAAAGACTGCGGTTTGTGAACCTTCCTTCCTGGAAGTGAAGGAAAGCCAGCCCGGTTGGTTTCTCTCTGCAGGTTTCACCAGGGAGGCGGGGGAGCCCAGACAGCGCTTTGGGTACTGAACCGGCGGCCGTGGGGCACCCAAAACCCCCGCAGCGCTGCCGGCCCCGGCCCCGAGCCCGACCGCCTCTGTGCGAGCCTCCCGCCCCGCCGCGGCCGGCACCGCCTCACCTGCGGCCCCGGGCACCTCCGGGCCTGCCGAGCGGCGCAAGGGCGAGCCGAGCTCCCTGCGGAGAGAACACACGGCGCCGTGAGGGGACGGCGATGTCCCGCCGCCCGCCCGAGCCGCGCTGCCGGGGCCGCCCCCCGCCCACCGCCGCCCCGCGGTACCGCGGCCCTGCCGCGCTCCGGGATCCCGAGCGGAAACAGGAAGGAGGCGCCCGCCCCGCCCCAGCAGAGCCCGCCCGCCGCGGGGCTGGAGCGGCCCCGCCCGCCGGGAGCGGCGCCGGGAACGGCCGGGAGAGGTGCGAGCCGGGACAGGGAGTTCCCGAAGTACCCGGATGGGCCGTTCGCGTGGTGCGGTGGCCTCGAGAAGCGGGAACGCGGCTCGCACCGGAGCCGGGAGCCCCGTGGTGCCTCCGTGTGGGGGCCGCTCGGCGCGTGGAGCGATCGGGAGCAGCCCGCGGGTGCCTGGCCGGTGCCTCGGCACGATGCCAGCTGTGTGTCCCGGGCCTTTTGGGACTGCTGAGCCTCTCGGGTGGGCACACTGTGGCCCTGCTCGGGGACACATGGCCGGGCAGGAGCCGCTGGCTATTGCGCTGCTCCCCACTGGACTGACCTCAGCAAGAGTAATCAGCTGATCGCCGTGTATTCTGAGCCTTTTATATGCTCATACTGAAAAATAAATTTAAAAAAAAATCATGTTTTGCCTTTGTATGTTGCACCAAGCCTTTTCCCCTTGCACAGACACATACATGTGAAAAACAGCTTCGTTATATTTCCAATGCAAGGAAAAGTGCAGGTTAGGATATTAGGTTAATACATGAGAGGATCTTGAAAAATCTCTAATTGTATCGAGCAATTCAGGATCAGTTATCTGTGCTATATACCAGCAAATGCCACCACATCAATCTGCTTCCATATATCTTTTCTTTATGTGAATATTTTTATTATTTCAAGGGAAGAAAACAGCCAAATAAAAATATGTTTGGCTAAAGATTTATTGACAAGACACCTGACTAATAATCTAGAATGCTTCAGTTTCGGTATGTCAAATGCAATTTTTTGCTATGCAGAAAATTGCATTATTTGTTTTTATTAAAAACATGTCTGTTGTGTTCAGCCTCTTGCAGTACCAGGGGAGGGGAGGAGAGTTCTTTTGAAAGGTACAACTGTTATGTGGTACAACTGCCTTGCAGCTTCAGGGCTGACCAAAAGAAGCAGCACCGCTGGTGGCTGGTCACCTGCCAGATACAGCCCCTCACCCAGCACACCGTGAACTCACTGTTGGACAGCCTGTTCTGGAGGATGCTGTCAGGGACAGCATCAGAAGGCTTAATCCAAACTTAAGAATTCTTAATTCTTCCTAAATCCAGGAAAACTGCATGCATGTCCTTCCCTTCAACCACTAGGCCGGTAACCTTGTCAAACAGGACTTTCCTTCTGTGAAACTTTGTTGACTCTGCTTGATGATTCCATTATTCTTCAAGTGCATTTCAACTGCAGCCAGTGTGATCTTCTCCATATTTTTTCCAGGTAATGAGATTGTATCAACAGGTCTTCCTGGATCTTCCCTCATGCCCTTTTTGTAAATTGAAATACTGTTTGCTAACTTCCAGTCCAGGATCCCCAAGGACACCAAGATCTTTGAGAGCTAGCGGTACATGTGTCTCTGTACTTGGGTTACTCAGCCATTTATGGGAGCATTAAAACTCCTAGAGAAGTTATGGGTCCCTCTTTGGTCTGTAGTTTGTAAATCTTGGCAGAATATAACAATATAAATTTATTGGATCTTCTGTTCTGTTTCTGAGATGTTGTGTCTAATGGTATTATGAGAAGAAGGTTTTGCAGCCTGTATAGCTAAGTTAAAAGTAGGTGGGTATCACGTAAGTATATCCTATTTCTGGTAAAAATTCATATTCGGCTAGAGGGGACACAGTTACATTTCTGATGTCTGAATGTCAAATTCAGATACATCTTCCAAAATAAGCACTGACTTAGTCAGCAGCTATATACAAGCTTTTTAATGTAACCGCTGCAAAATTAATTTCTCGTTCCAGTCTTTTGCATAATAGAAATTGTCTGATCTGTCTGCCTTTCAATGTTTTCTCTGCCTTACTGCTTTAAAAAGGAGAAGTAACTGATTTATTGTGGCAGGGAAGAAAAAAAGGCAGGTATTCTTAATTCACTTTTCCTAGAAAACAGATCTTACTTAATTACTTTTCCTGCTGTCCTTCTCCTCCTAACAGTTTGTGAAGCTATTCACTGGTTATATTGGCAAAGTAGTAGAAGTCTTGTACATAATAATTTTGCTCCTTTTAATATCTGTGAAAACCAGCCCAGACTACCACCTTGACTGAAAGCTGCAGTGCATCTTTAATAGGAATGAGGAGGTGTCATGGGAATACTATTAGATGGGGAGGCTTCATTTGTGGCTTGCACTTTACCAAATTCAGAACAATTCAACCATGAGGCTGTGGTAGATCAGG